ATTAAACAATGGTAACCGGGATGTTAGACTGAATAGCTCTTACCACATTGTCACGTTATCATGTCATAAAGGACCGTCAGTATCGGGTATGGCCGCCATTATTGTTGACGACAGCCAAACAACGCCTCCTAATGAAGGCACGGGGGATGTTGTTATACACATCTAAAACGGACTGTCCAAGCTGACGCCGATTCCGTGGGAGAGTTGGTCTCTGACGTAGACGACTGTCAGTCTCGTCCCACAGGTGTTCCATGGGGTTGAGGTCTGGGCTGAGAGCTGGCCAATTCATCGTCTGGATGTTATTGACAGTCAGGAATTGTTGGGTGAGTCTGGCGGTGTTTGCTCTCGCGTTGTCCTGCTAGAGAACCAACTGGGATCTGGCAGCGAAAAGCGGGATGACAACAAGCAGCAACATCTCATCCACATAACGTTGTGCAGTCACACCTCTTCTACGACCTAAACCGTTGTTTTGGAAGACGACAGATTGTACTCGCCTGCCCCAACTGACTCCTTCCCAGATCATAATGGAAGGCCCTCCCAAACGGTCTGCTTCCAACACACATGGGTCAAGGAATCGTTCATCTTGTTCGACGTCAGATCCAGACACCGCCGTCGGCGACATGGGTACAAAATCGGCTCTCATCAGTGAAGACAATGTTACGCCACTGCATGTGTCTCCAATTAAGGTGCTGTCGTGCCCACGGAAGCCTCTGTTGTCGATGTCAAGCAGTTAGGATAGGACCAACATAAGGCCTACGACAGTGTAGTGCGTCTGCCCTTAGACGTCGACGTATTGTAGCCGCAGAAACAGGCCGATTGTGGATACCAATGGTTTGATTGGCTGTCGTCGTGGCTTGAAGGAATCTGTTACGTACATGGGGGTTCACAATGTAACGCTCCTGTCTGTGGGTCGTCACCCTCGGGCGACCACTTTGCTGACGATCTCTTACGGTATTGGTTTGGTTATGGCGTTCCAGAAGTCTGTAAATGGTTGCACGGTGGACACCAAGTTGTTGTGCAACATTAGCTACTTTCCTGCCAGCATCAAGCATCCCTAGCGCCTGTAATCTCGCATCATTATTCAGTCGTGGCATTTCTTATCAGATTGTCTACGAACGTTACATTCAGGTTCTGCTGATTCGGACGTGCTTAATGTGAATGTGACATAAGTTTCACATGCACGTGAAGGTAATGACACGGGGAATGTGATAGCGGTGCAACACTGGTTGCGTTTGGGTATAGTGATTGTGCGTTTTGCCAGGGACAGTGTTGATATGAACAAACACGGCGCAGTGACAGAAATGGCAGCAAAGGAGGAATTTTGTCTATGGAATGCCTGCGTAAGACATCCATACAACCATAATCAGTACTTATTATCTCACAAAATGCACATGTCAAATACTATCATCACCAAGGAAATGACAACCGAGTGTCGCGTTACTTTTGGAGTTTAGTATATATAATCATATATAATCTCCTTTGCTCTTGGTGCAACTATGTTGGTCGCTTTCTCTAGGCACAGAGGCCGTTTTCTCCAGGTTCGGGGGCCGTTCTCTCCAGCGCAGTGGCCGTTTTCTTGAGTTTTGGAGGGTTCGTTTTTCTCCGTATCCCATAGGATAACATTAAAACAAAACACATGTGCCATAGTCAGCAGGACTAAACCTAGCTGAGTTTAAAGGCGAACCAGGGACAGTTACAGGTGTAGATTTCAGCTTTCTAAATCTCAGAAAGCTCTTCTGCAAAAACTCGAGAAAAATGGCAGAATGTTCGCAATAAGAATGTTAAGATCTTTAACTGAATGAGTGGACTGATGATTACACAGCTATGAACTGATAACCTCAGATACCCTTTGAAAAAGCCTGCATCTTATTGTATCCTTATGGCGACTTGTTTACTTCAGCAGATTGTGCATGACTATGACCTGTCAATGTAAACGTAAGATTAACAAAATTAGTTGTCCTCCTTAAGTTAAAATTGAAACCCTGAATTTACTTTGAAGTTGATGATATTATGGGGATGGTGGCTGTCGGGCCATTGGTATTTGTATGTTGATGGATCATCTCTTTAAAACAATCATACTTGCTCATAATGCAACTGTATAGTCATTAGATTATTTATGAAATGTAAAACTATAATCCCAATGGCACATTTCACGGCGCTTACATCAGAAATGGGCATATCAAACATGTTTGGGAGTGAACCCACACAGTTTAGCATTTTAAATATCATTGGACATCCACGCCATACCAATGAAGCTTATTATCGTTAGCATTTTATAAATCAAATCCACTTACATTTCATATCAAACATACTTTTATACCCATGGTCAAACCGTTGCTAGTAACAAGTGATTGAACCTTGACCTAATTCAATGCATAACCGATGACCTTGAATTAGGTCACATTCTGTAACTATTTTTCATTGATCAAACACGTGGACATCTACAACTTAAATGCATTGTGGGAATGTCTGTGGAAGAGTGGACCTCCACGCCATACCAATGACCTCGTGGATGCTGCACGTTAACAAGCCATTAGTGGCAATATTACTGTCACTGTAATAAATGACCCCACCCTCAGTCCACTGTACATTGTTATACACGTGGAACATTGATACACAAGGTTCAACACTGCCACATAACAATCTGCATCAAACTCCTAGGTACTGCTGAAAATATCATTCAGACCACTACAGTCCGTTTGAGTCAGAAACGGACCGATGAATTGCAAATTTGATTATTATACAAAATTGCCTCAGAAATATAAATAATACACATGTGTATCATTTACTAAAACCCAACAGCTTTCTTATACTGAAACTTTTCCGGACTCCACCGAAAGAGTTGTTTAAGAAACAATCATCATTGAAAACGCAAAAGTTGTTATCTGTCGAGGCGGGCTGAAACCGCAGAAACGGAACAGCCAGTCATGGCGGGGGACATCTCAAAATCTATTCCGGGAGACCTGTCGGTTCCTCGTCCGTCGTAGTGTCATAGTCACGACTTAAAGGGATGACAAGTGGTGCCACAGTTGCCTGTTGTAAGCCTGTTGTAAGCCATCCCGAGACCAGTAACCTTGAGAGACTAGCACGGAAACCAGATATCTCATGATACCATTTACAGAGTGAATATTGCAAAACCCCGCGTCAGCATTTGTTGCAGCTATTCGCTTTGTCTTTTGTTTTGCGGTGCATTAAGCATCATGTAAGTGATGTTGAAAATTACTAAAATCTCAGTCAAATATTGCACTCAAACGTAAAAACTTTCTGTTGAGATAATAATATAGTATATTCTGTCATGGGCTTGAAGGTTTCATTTGAAGGTTTCTTTTAAATATGCTATAATCAAGTGGTTAGACGCTTTAGATAATGAATGAACATTATCATAAACATGTTGTCTGATAGAAGCGAAATCAACGCATTGAAGCAAAATGTGCTTGACAGTTATTGGATTATTGCAAGGGTGCATCTTCACCTTAAAAATGAATGTGTTTAATGACTGTGTCCAATGCGGCACTGCTGCATTACAACGCCATCATGATGACAACCACAAGGTTAGGTTTGACCTCCAATCTATATGGCTTGATGGCGTGGAGCATATTCGAAATGATTGGTATTTCAGCTTTTCCGCCAGTGATCGTCCTCATGTGTGATAGAGGTTCGCAGAGCAGAAAACGGAATGTTTGTGCGTCAGGTGGACAAACGATACTTTACACAGGCAGGTTCTCCATTTTATAAAAAAATATGATTTCCTTTCTTGACTGATTGGACCTGTAAAGGTCCGGGTTAGAATGTGCCTTCAGTAACCCATGCTTGTAAGGGGCCACTAACGGGATCGGGTGGTCAGGCTCGCTGACTTGGTTGGCACATGTCATCCGTTCCCAATTGCGCAGATCGATGCTCATGCTGTTGATCACTGGATTGTCTGGTCCAGACTCCATTATTTACAGACCGCCACCATATAGCTGGAATATTGCTGAGTACGGCGTAAAACTACACTCACTTACTCTTCTCTGATTGACAGACGTGATGGTGATGGATATGTGGATATACATCAAATTAAATTTGTAACTCCATGTGGAATCTAAAGAAAAATCGTGATATGTCTACGAGATAAATACTCAATGCTGCTACAAATTGTACTCTGACATTTTAGTAAGCATGTATCTCATGCTTTCATTATATATATTAAGTAATGCAAAATATTTATTATATATAGTAAATTATGGCGATCTATAGCCCGAGTTTTATATTGTATTGTCTTCTTGGATTTAAATGTTTTAGTTTTACATGCTAGTTTTATATTTATATCTGTGATACTCTAGTATTTTGACTGCCCATCGTCGACAGGTTTAACTCTTCACATTATTTTCATTTTTGTATTATATAAATTGTTTTCGTCACGATATTGCCGATGTGACGTTAAATATTAACTTACTCATTCACTCACTATAGTAAATTATGCATTTGCCCGCATATGATCTTCGGATTCATCTCGGGAGGCAAATAAGAAATTTATTCACTCATTCACTTTATTGCACTCAGGTTGGAATGCTATATTGCTCTCATCTGAAACAACTTTAAGTTTGCACAATGTAAATGTTTGACAGATTAAAGCAAGGGCTTGCTCAAAAGATGTTTGATCAGGGTTACTACATTCTGTAATTCCATAAAACTTTCAAAAGGCTTAATTCCAAACATGTGGACGTCGTTTCCTTGACACGAATCCATCGTATCCAGCTATATCATTAACATGTATTTATGATTCACTATGAATGATAATAAGATGGAGAGCATCCGGTCCCATTGGAGGAACCCGCCAAAGTACATGCAAAGACAGGTCTAGTTTTCTGTGAATAGGTTATTCCATTTAGAAAGTCGCAAAATGTAGCACAGGTTGCATCTGGGATTGCAGTTTCTCGGTAAAGTACGTAGTATCCGTACTTTACAACATGAATATGTACCATATGTTATAAGTTTACTGTTCACTTGAATCAAGCTATGCTTGTATGCTGATCTTTGAAATCACATTCTCAGTTGTACCTCAGCTGCAGGAATATTGCTCGACAACAGTAGATAGTTGAATACTGGAATGTTCATCCCTTTTGTCACAGTCTTATATAGAGTTTTTCTACACTCTGAATCTTTATGCAAAAACATAAATCTTGTATTTTGAACTCCAGTGGGTGAATCAGCGAAATTGAACTGAACATTTTCACGAATCAAGCAAAAGTTGCATGAATGCGCTTCTTTGCACGCAACACTAAACTGGAATGATGACACTATCATATCATCGTAATTGACGTATCTTTCCTATAATGCAGTCGATCGCGCGAGCCACGTACTGATACCTCGAACCGTTTGTCTGGTCCCGACCTCATTACTGTACAAATACAATATATTTGCTAGCTTATCTCAAATTCGAGACAACGCTATCCCGAGCCTTGGGCTCGGTCCTAAATGTGACTTTACGAGGAGGTACGTATCTGAAATGTATCCCTCAAAATCAATCTGCCTTCAAAAAGATCCAACAAGAAAGTATCAGGTTATCTCCATAAGCAGGTGTCCAGAACATCTCCTCGGGTACTCCAGCTCTCTTCTTGTCTGTAGTCTCTGACCAAACACCATTGGGGTTACAGGGAGTGCAGCTCTTGAACCAGAATCCAGACTTGTGTTCTTGAGCACAGTTTAGAGGACTGTCATCATTATCTCTGTCGAAGGTAGAGAAGGACTGCCCCTGTAATGCGCCCAAACAATCACCACCATTATGCGAAGGGTCCGCATTACCCCACGTCGAGACAAATGACATTTGATAATCATTGTTCCTGTTTAGTTTGAACTCATTGTATACCTGGTTTCTGATTTTAAGGGTGAAAACATCTATGTAGTTAAAAATAAGTTTGTGATCACGTCCATTTACAATGTGGGAGATTTTGTCGTTACCGAGCCAGAAGTCATAACGTAGATCGCCGAATCCATCTTTGTAATCTTGCCAAGTACGGTAGAAACTTGTGGAGCTACGCTTGTGTCTCTGTATAAATGTATTACCGCCATGCGCCATCCTGCACCAGACTCGAAAGGGTTCCGGAGACAACACAGGGTGAACTAGAAACAGACCATTTTCTCCGTCATAGTGACCGCTGGTAAAACCCTCAGAGCAATCTGAAAAGATATATTGACCTGTTTTTCTGAATCGTCAAACATATATCGTCATGGGCATGTCTTGGTTGTGTTCCTCCGATTAATGGAGGCCTTTTTGTTAAAGACTACTGACTTTTACACTTTGAAGATATTTTCTGGATTGGGTGTCTGAGGTATGAAAGGCCATACCTTCTATCCAAACAGTGTCGCATGTACCTAGCGACGTGTTGTGTCTCCTCTGAAAGGAGTCTCTTCAACAGAATACTTTGACAGTCGGACCGAAATGTTGAAATGCTTTGAACAATTAGATTTCATTTTTAGCCGACAATATATTGCGTTGAGGACAAGCAGGGTCGGTTGTTAAAAGTCATTAGATATAACATCATATCATGGAAAAGGACTAATATGAATCCTCACAAATGAGTATTATACTTGCTGTATTTGACGGGGAACCTTAAGAACAGGTAACTAAACTTTATATGTGCTTAAATACGGGTACCCATATTGCACGTGAAACTCGCCCTTGATCGCAACGTGTGCATATAAAAAAACGATTTCAAATATTGTAGTGGAAATTATGAATCTCCGTCAAACATCGGCTCTGAAGAAACAATAGAGACAGACATTCTCAAACATCACTTTATCAAAAATTTATTTCGTTTTCAATCATACAAAACACATTTGCCGTTCATATTCATCGCCATCGAATAAGCAGCCTCAATTATTGCTGTCACAGATTCGGTTTGACGTTAGCGGCAAACTAAAAGTGAACACTGTGTGTTCTCCGTAAACAACTCACCGATCATCAGTCGCCAACAGTCGTCACCGACGTATCCATCATAACACTTACACTTCCGTGTTGCCACGCCAGTGTCGCCCTCAGTCTTACAGCGTTTATGAATCTTGAATAGAAGAATCATATTTCATGCATACAGTATTTGATCAGGTAATAAATATGCAGCAGAACAGATATCCCTTCCAATGTGATCACATATTACTGACCATGAAAGATGTGTGCCCGATGTACATTATTGATATGGTTTGCGATTCATGTGGATAAGCGATATGGCTGAAATATTGCCGATGTGACTTTAAATCTTAACTCACTCACTCACTCACTCACTCACTCACTCATGTGAATAAGCCAGGTTGCTGGTGATACTGACCATTGTATACATACAATAAGTGAACGCATTCAGGGGTGAGCTTATCACAACTGACATTCTTTTCTCGTAAGTAAATCTTTACTATGTTATAAATCAAATAAAGATTTATCATGTTGAGATAAATATGTCAAATATTTAATCTCATTAACACAGATGAATCTTAACTATGCGATTTGAGCATTGTCGCGTTTTGAATAATATTTTTCTATTCATCCAAAGGGCGACATAGAGACAAGTTTCAAGGTCAAAAGATGTCGCGTTGTCGGCCCATCTAAGATGGGTAAAAAAAGCCTTAAAATGTGCGACAACGCGACATAATTATCAGTATGAAATAAAGAAGGATGAATTCGCTTGGCAGAGTGGTGTACCGTTGAAATGCCAGAAACCTATGCTCACTCACTCACTCACTCACTCTACTCAAGGCTTAGGGAGCTTGGTAAATTAGCAAGGTATTTCATTACAATAACGTGTGGTGAAGTCTACTTTTCAAGTCAATTTGAATCCTATATATTGTGGACATGCCTTGATTCACAATGCATCGATACATCGATGCCGATGTGGCCTGGATTTTAGCTTGATATTGGAGATATGTCCAAAGTACCTAAAATGACAGGGCCACTTAATGCAGTAATTACAATGAATAGAACCGCAAAGAATTTGTCATCATATTCATGATGTCGCGTGTCGCACATTTTAAGGCTTTTTTATACACATCTTAGATGGACGACAATACAACAACGCGACATATTTTGACCTTCAAAATTGTCGCTATGTCGCCCTTTGGATGAATAGAAAAATATACTGAGTCAAAAAAGAAACTTCACAAAATGTAATTTGAAAAATAATGAATACTTTTTCTCTGATGATACATCTATGTATCCGAAATGGGATCCGTATCTTTCGACTCTAGAAAAACGTTAGCAAAACCCACTCGAAACCATCCATTCGTCGTGCAAATGACGTTAGTGCCAAAACAGGTTTTGCACGTGCAGTCGATCACGTGATCTTCGCATCGAAGTTTTCTTCACATGCACGTGTTTGTATTGGCTTCAAGAATTGAAAAAACACTTTAAAACCACAGTTCTAATGGTACTTGAAATGCCACGATTGTCAAATGTGCAACGTGAACGCCGTTGGCATGTTGCAAGCGGGAAGATCAGTTATTGACGTCACAAGAGCAATGGGATGCAGCTGTCGTACTGTGTATGACTTGCGAGGTCGTCTACAACAAACTGGCACCACTTCTGATCGCCCAAGGTCGGGTCGTCCACGTGTGACGTCACGAGCAGAAGACCATCAAATCGTCCTACGTCACTTACGTGACAGATTTCTGCCGGCTACACGAACCAGGGCTGAGATGTTTAGAGGTCGACTGTCCTCACAGACCATTCGAAATCGGTTGCGGGCTGCCAATCTCCATTCTCGACGTCCATATCACAGGCCTATATTGACTCCGTTTCATCAACGTCTGCTGTGGGCCAACGTCACCTCCGATGGACCCAGAGAGACTGGAATCGAGTCGTCTTTAGTGATGAATCCACGTTTACCCTCAGATTCGCGGACGACAGGCATAGAGTCTGGAGACGACGTCGTGAACGGTAGGCCCAATGTTGTGTACAGGAAGTCGAGAGATTCGGGGGCGGAAGTTGTATGGTGTGGGGTGCTTTCTGTGGGAACAACCGTTCCCGACCTCTGGTCATCAGTGGAAACCTCACAGCTGCTGCTTACCGCGACCAGGTGCTCACCCCTGAACTCGTTCCTTTCATGGCGGCTCATGGCCCAGGTCTACAGTTCCAGCATGATAATGCTCGGCCGCATACCACGATGTTGACACGAAATTTCCTTCAAAACGCTGGAATCAACGTCATGGACTGGCCATCGAGGTCCCCTGACCTTAATCCAATAGAGCACGTTTGGGATGCACTTGGGAGAAGGCTTCGTGGTCTTAGGAACCAACCTCAGAATTTGTAGGAATTTGGCGCTGCCTTGCAAGAGCAATGGCGCAGAATCCCCAACCACGTGTTCACAAACATCAGGCAGTCGATGAGGACACGGTGTTTGGCAGTGGTGAATGCGTGGGGCGGCCATACACGATATTGAACTGAAAAATTTCGCATTTTTATTCTTCTGACTTGACATTCTGTATACCCGTGTTTTGGAACGGCGGTGTCAGTGTATCGAGTACATGACACAGATCTCAGCAATAAAATAATAACAATTTAACCACCTTACCATCTCTTGTTCTTTTATAGTGCCCTGAAGAAAGAATGTGAAGTTTCTTTTTTGACTCAGTATATTATAATTCAAAACAATGCGACAAATGGCTGAAATGTCGCGTTGTCGCATTGTCACGCTTTGGATAATTTTGCCTCTTTGTTTCTGAGAGGTCAACAACACGACAATGTCCCCTCAAGTGAGTGAGAGTTAATATTGTCCCCTCAAGGATTCCATAGTTTTTGGGTTTGTTAAAGAAAACCAAAAGAGCCAAAAAGGTAACATAAAGGTATATTATCATTTGTAATGTGCTTCATGCGATCTGGGCGGTGGGGTAGCCTAGTGGTTAAAGCGTTGGCTCGTCACGCCGAAGACCCGGGTTCGAATCCCCACATGGGTACAGTGTTTGAAGCCCATTTCTGGTGTCCCCCGCCGTGATGTTGCTGGAATATTGCTAAAAGCGGCGTAAAACTAAACTCAGTCAGTCAGTCAGTCAGTTCATGCGGTCTTTTCTACAAATATGTTTTTGTATCTAAGTAAAGACAGATAACAGTGATCTATGCTGATAAGATACTATATACGCTGTATATTCATCGTAGTTATTTAGTGACTATGTTGATAAGATACTATATACGCTGTATATTCATCGTAGTTATTTAGTGCCTATGATGATAAGATACTATATACGCTATATATTCATCGTAGTTATTTAGTGCCTATGATGATAAGATACTATATACGCTGTATATTCATCGTAGTTATTTAGTGCCTATGATGATAAGATACTATACACGCTGTATATTCATCGTAGTTATTTAGTGCCTATGTTGATAAGATCCTATATACGCTGTATATTCATCGTAGTTATTTAGTGCCTATGATGATAAGATACTATATACGCTGTATATTCATCGTAGTTATTTAGTGCCTATGATGATAAGATACTATATACGCTGTACATTCATCACAGTTATTTAGTGCCTATGTTGATAAGATACTATATACGCTGTATATTCATCACAGTTATTTAGTGCCTATGTTGATAAGATACTATATACGCTGTATATTCATCGTAGTTATTTAGTGCCTATGATGATAAGATACTATATACGCTGTATATTCATCGTAGTTATTTAGTGCCTATGATGATAAGATACTATATACGCTGTACATTCATCGTAGTTATTTAGTGCCTATGATGATAAGATACTATATACGCTGTATATTCATCGTAGTTATTTAGTGCCTATGATGCATGTACATTATTTATCTTGAAGATGGTGTAATTTCAATCTCCAAACTTACTTTGTAGGTTTTCCAACATTACAGTGTTTTAAACGCTGGTGTAGCTTCCCACTTACATTATAATGTGTCCAGCCTCCAATGTAGCATTCTCCAGTCTGGAACAACTCCTCGTGTGTCCGGCATAGAGTTCCAGAGACACTGTAAGCCACACACGCCGGGTCTTCAGAACATATCCTGGCACATCCTGTCTTTGTACGTACCGTGTACACCCCTCCACTATGTGGAGGTGTTTGAAAAACTGAACATTGGGAATATTGTACAAAGGCAGCCATCCCGCTTGATGGGTCCCCTAAAATACTTTGAAAACCTAAAACCAAAAGCTTCACAACGATAAAAGCCATCACCGAAGTAGACATGCTGGACATGTGGACGCTGCACTGTACGTGTCTAATACAGCGCAAGTCATGAACTGTTTCCGATGTGATTTCAGGGAACATCATCAATATTCCAAACTTGAAATCAATGTGCTTGCACGTGACCATGACTGCCTTCTGTCAATTCCAATCGATTTGTTTCTGGATTAGTAGCCCAAGGATATGTTTCGAAACTCTGAGAATAGTCGTGCATGACTCTCAAGTGCTGGCAAACATACAGAGAAAATCTCACAACTCAGGAAAAAATATTTCCAGTATGAGTGTCATTGATTCCTCTCTGCCTCACTCTGTTGCCACGATACTAAACTACACTCTCTAATATTTGCTCAGGACAAGGGGGTGGAAAGGTACTATTGTGATGAATTGCTTCATCAATAACAGTTATTATAAACAGTTATGTGAATGAGTATGGTTTTACGCCGCTTTTTGCAATATTCCAGCAATATCACGGCGGGATTACCAGAAATGGGCTTCACACATTGTACCCATGTGGGGAATCGAACCCGGATCTTCAGCGTGACGAGCGGACGCTTAAACCACTAGGCTAACCCAAGGCTCCGTTAAAATTAATGTGTGTGTCTGTGTGTGAGAGTAATTGTGGAGTGCGCGCGTGCATACATGAGTATGTGCGCACACGTCCATCGTTGATTCTAAAATGATAGGTTGGAGACGCCAATACGTTTGCAGTGAACATAAGAAAACATAAAAGTCAGCAGGTGAGCTGAGTAAACCTGATTTCATTTCCTCAGTTTTGTATCAACAATATTATGGGGTCCATTCCATTCCATCAGGAATATTACTTTCTTATTCATCTATATTTTTTAACAAAACACCGACTGGGTAACAGTGTATCTACAACTTCATCCTAAAGCCATACTTGATCTGTTAAATTATCACAATCTAGACCAATATAAAAAGGACATACTTTATCTGACCCGGACAAACCATCCTACACCCGATCTGGGCAGGGGTGGGTAGATAGAGTATGGAGTTTCCATATACTTTCAGATGTAACCACATGCAAAATATACGCACCGACGTTCTATGTTTAACTCAACTGGGTCGATGTTTCTGCTGTTAGAGTGAAGTCCTCGAGATTCATCATAAGCTCAGTAGCATATTTACGTATGCTGAGTCGACTACAAAAGAAACGTCTGGTCCGAGACATTAAAACTGACCCTAATGTGTTTAAAAAAATCAATTTCCCAAACGTTTGTCTTCCCTTATAAGCATTGGAATCTCTGTACACCAATCACAATTCCAAATTCTAGCTGGGTTTTCCAGTTAATCGATCACCAGGTTGAAACTTTTGTTCCCAGGCCGCCGTCACGTGAAGCGTCAAGCAAAAAATACTTCCATATTCAGGCAAATTTTATTATGGCATGCTTTAACCTTTTCACGAACACCTGGTGTCATCACTGATTTTCAAATAGCGATGATATCCGATGTAAGACAAAAAGGTATACTGCAACACCGATTCCATTGTGTGCCCCGTCGAGACCTTGCTGGAGTATTGCTCAAGCGACGTAAAAGGGTAAGCATGGCCTGTCCAATCAGTAGAGTAACACACTGACACGTTTCATTGTAAAAGACTCCGAGTTCACGTGTACATCATTAAAACGCTTGCACGAAATTGGCGTGTATGGAATGGAATCATCATTTTTCTAAATCCATATGCAATCAATACAATTGATATATTCATTTTGCCTGGAAATCAGTTTGTCTGTTTGGCAATTATGCAGATTAGAATATTAGAGAAACCAGAAAAGGGCGCATTAAAGGTAATCCTATTTTTCATACCACCCACGACTATTTAACTATGAGTGAAGTAAACTCGTCGCCAACTTACTCTACACAGAGGCCAACATGGCTGGAATATGGTATTCTTAAAGAACTTCATGATAACTATGTTTTTTCCAACATGACAGGCATACGTGTGAAGGTTAAACTGATATTGGTGTGCAGAAATGAGGAAAACAGCTTCTCTGCAAAATATGACACAAAAACATTCCTTTCGGATCCCAAATGAAAAGTGAAGAGGCTAAGCTCATTCCTGTGAAAAATGCATCAGATGTATATCTGCTGTACAGCTTGATAATTTGGTCTGTGTCTGCAAATGTCATATATTCACAGGTCAAAACACAAACGTAGATCCGATATGGATATCACCTTTCTGGACACAACTAAGAATTACACAGAGAAGGAAAACGATACATTGCCATGCTCCCTCAGAACACTAATGTGTATGCACGAGATATTTGATAAAGTCAAGGAGCAAAATGTGACAAAGATATATGTCAGATGATCGATTTTCTTGGAGACAAATACAAATACAAATAAAATGCATGTCTGAAAATCCTAGCTCACGAAATTCAATCTCGGGAAGCTAGTCTAAATCATGATATATCTATGCTAAGATATGATGTGAATCGAATAAGCAATAAAGTTAAAAATCTACACTACACTATTGATAATAATGCCTTTTGACACGAGAACATGTGCTATCGATGAAGAGATCGATTGTATAAACACAAACACGCTTTTGTATTCTGAAGCGGGAAAAAGTTCCTTGACACAACATCAGGAAAAAGAATTATAAAACAAACGAGGGTTTTATTGTGAAGCAGTCATTGTTTCAGATAGTCCACCAAGGGTGCATCCCTCGAAACAGGAGAAGTCAACGAAAAACAACGGAAAACAATGACCTGACCGCGGACGTTACGTGAGAAACGTCAAGTGAAGACACTGATACAAGGACGGTCAGATTTAATGTGTCAAAAAGCATTCTTGTTGCCTCACGTGTTTGGAAAAGAGACTTTCCTGTCTGTACGTTGAGGCGGAACAACCTTTTTATAATAATTGAACTTGCAATCAACGACTATTCATCAGTGCAATTATCTACGTAACTGTGAAGGGCGAAACCCGACATATACTACCTATTTTAATGTACTCATTGCGCAAAAACCACGACTATCGGATGCAACTGTCTGGTCTGCAAATGTGCATTGCCAGACATGGGTGCCAAACTGTCCATTGTATTCAAATGAAAGATCTGGAGCTGAAATTGAGGATTCTCCTGCTTATCATGCGTCGGACTTCAACCTGCTACTTTTAGTGCATGGAACTCATGAACTATGGCCTGGATTAAGCACTGGCACAATTCATCATTCGTAGACGGAATTCACAACGATTTTTATAGATGTACTGTAAGTGTAGCGGTGACTCCACAACTCGTCACATGGATCCCGCGGCACGTGTGTACAGAAATGGGAGTATAGGCTACTGATGAATTAAGGGTGTCAGTAGGCCTACTAAATGCCCAGACCATATGCTTGGTATAAGTCTAGAAAATGAGATTACTACTACATACGGTACAATACTTTCTCCTACAAATGTTTTGACAGTGTTTATCTTAACTAACTCCATTATGTGATGAGCCTGTATGATCCTTAACACTCAAACTTCGAATAACTGATTCTGCATCCTCCTGGATGAATCTGCATATATGGCAACTCTGATCCGAGCATGAACTCGGATGACGGCTACAGTAGTCTGTCGGGATATTGTTCCCTCCAGATATGTGGTTCACAGAGACGTTGTACCGACTGATTGTTGCCAGAAATGTCGTGACTCGAGAGCTTGCAGAAAACTCACCTCTGTTGAGTTTGTTGTAAGCCTGCACACAAGGACGGCGATCAGTGAGTAATTGAGCCTTTTGAGTTGAAGCAGTGATGAATGGAGAAAAATGTTTTATGGATGATCCGATAGCAAGAGCCTCCAGCTCACAAGGAAGCCATGCAACTTGATGAGTCTTCAGTTTGGCGTTGAAGAAGCCGGCCAATAACGGTTTGGTATCACGACAAGCATATAATGTTCCCGCCATCTGTGACGATGCACAGAGTATCACTTGGTCTCGGAATAGTGATTGTCTTGTTGTCCGACAGGGCAGCTTTGGCCTTGTTGAATGCACAGTACAGATCATCAGTCCAGCAAAGTTTGTCTTTAGACTGTTTTTCCGGCCGTGGCCTTGTCTAAAGGTTGGAGGCGATCTGCATATCCATGGAGGACACGACTGAGTGCATTATAGACACCAACAAAGGAATGCAATCCCTGTACTGTCGGTGGTGGTGATACGTCTGGTATGCCTCAGTGTATGATAGGACAACCGGAATAACCCCGACTGGCTCAAAATGGGCTGTGTTTAGGTGATATTCAGACCAGACATCAGGCAAATATCAGTGTCGGAGCCCCAGTTTATTCAGGAGTCGTCTGGTATGCCTCAGTGTATGATAGGAGAACCTGAATGATCCCGACTGGCTCAAAATGGGTTGTGTTTAGGTGATATTCAGACCAAACAGTAGGTAAAATCAATGTCGGAGCCCCAGTTTATTCAGGAGTCGTCTGGTATGCCTCAATGTATGATCAGAGAACAGAAATAATCCCGACTGGCTCAAAATGGGCTGTGTTTAGATAGTATTCAGACTCCAGACTCCATCAACCTTCGCTGACCTTTTCGTTGTGGTCAGTCATTTGAAATAGTGTCAACAAATCCATATTTAATTACGCAAGTTTATCATGTTGTTACTTTATCTCGTCATGAAACATATTTTTTATATCTGGACTTTGCAATCCATGTTATTAATTTTACTCAAAAGGTCAAAAAAGAATGTTTATATCAACTGCAGTGAAATCCTGTGCCTCACTGATATTATAACTTCGGTCCGAATTAGTCACAAAAATCACTGTCATATTGCATCTACTCACGCCTTGAAATGAAGTGAATTTGGCAGAAAATGGATACGTAAACATGTTTCGTTTGGCTAAAAGTAATAGTTCTTGTAGCTGGACGATCACATGTCTTCGCTGTGGAAATAGCGAGATCGCGCGAAACCTCATTGGTGACAGGTCAAATTGTTGCTTGCCTAAATACTATCCAGCAATACGCCAAAGTTCTGTCGCATAACCTTACTTATGATTATATATATTTTTCAGTTATAGAGCAAAACCTGCAATTAAA